TTAGCAGTGGGTTTGTCATATATGGCCTTTATTATGTTGAGGTACTTGCCCTCTATACCCATTTTGTTGAGAGTTTTTATCATGAATGGATGTTGAATTTTGTCAGATGCTTTTTCAGCATCTATGGAGATAATCAAGTGATTTTTATCCTTTTTGTTAATATGGTGTATGATGTTGATGGATTTTTGAATATTGTACTATCCTTGCATCCCTAGAATAAACCCTACTTGATCATGATGGATATTCTTTTTGATCTGTTTTTTAATTTGGTGTGCTAATATTTTGTTGAGTATTTTTGCATCTATGTTCTTTAGAGTTATTGGTCTGTAATTTCCTTTTTCTTGTATGATTTCTGTCTGGTTTTGGTACTAGCGTGATGCTGGCCTCATACAATGAGTTTGGAAGTATTCCCACCTCTTCTACTTTTTGGAAAACTTTGAGGATTGATATTATGTCTTCAATAAATGTTGATAAAATTCAGCAGTGAAGCCATCTGGTTCAGGAGTTTTGTTCTTAGGTAGTTTTTTGATTACCAGTTTATTTTCATTGCTGGTAATTGGTCTAGTCATATTTTCTGTTTTTTTGGGGTGAGCCTTGGAAGGCTAGAAAGTTGTCCATTTCTTCTAGGTTATCCATTTCTTTAGCATATAATTTTTCATAGTATTCTCTAATAATTCTTTGTATTTCTGTGGTGTCCATAGTGATTTTTCCTTTCTCATTTCTGATTCTGTTTATGTGTGTAGACTCTCATTTCTAGATAAGTCTGGATAGGGGTTTATCTGTTTTGTTTATTTTCTCGAAGATACAGCTCCTGCTTTCATTGATTCTTTCTATTGTTTTATTCTTCTCGATTTTATTTTTTATGCTCTCATCTTTATTATGTCCCTCCTTCTACTGACTTTGGGCCTCATTTGTTCTTCTTTTTATACTTTCATTAATTGTGAGTTTAGACTGCTTATATGGGATTGTTCTTCTTTCTGGGGGTAAGCCTGTATTGCAATATACTTACCTCTTAGCATGGCCTTTGGTGCATCCCACAGATTTTGCAGTGTTGAGTTATTGTTGTCATTTGTCTCCATATATTCCTTGATCTCTTTTTATTTTGTCATTGATTCATTGATTATTGAGAAGCATGTTGTGAAGCCTCCATGTGTTTGTGGGATTTTTCATTTTCTTTGTGTAATTTATTTCTAGTTTCACATTTTTGTGATCTGAGAAGCTGGTTGGTTCAATTTCAATCTTTCTGAATTTACTGAGGCTCTTTTTGTGGCCTTGTATATGATGTGTTCTTGAAAATGTTCCATGTGTGCTTAAGAAGAAGGTGTATCTTGCTGCTTTTTGGTGGAGTGTTCTGTAGATGTCTCTTAGGTCCATCTGTTCTAATGTGCTGTTCAGTGCCTCTGTCTCCTTACCTATTTTCTGTCTGGTTGATCTTTCCTTTGAAGTGAGTGGTGTGTTGGAGTCCCCTAAAATGAATGCATTGCATTATAATTCCCCCTTTAATTATGCTCATATTTATTTCACATATGTAGGTGCTCCTGTATTGGGTACATAGATATTTATAATGTTTATATCCTCTTGTTGGACTGACCTCTTTGTCATTATGAAATGTCCTTCTTTGTCTCTTGTGACTTTCTTTGTTTTGAAGTCTATTTTGTCTGATACAAGTACTGCAACTCCTGCTTTTTTCTCCCTATTAGTTGCATGAGATATCTTTTTGCAGCCCTTCACTTTTAGTCTGTGTATGTCATGTCTTTGGGTTTAAAGTGAGTCTCTTGTAGGCAGCATATAGATGGGTCTTGTTTTTTATCCATTCAGTGACTCTATGTCTTTTGATTGGTACATTCAGACCATTTACATTTAGGGTGATTATCGATAGGTACATACTTATTGCCATTGCAGGCTTTAGATTCATGGTTTCCAAAGTTTCAGGGGTAAGTTTCTTACTAACTTTCTAATTTAACTCACTTAGTATGCTATTACAAACACAATCTAAAGGTTTCTTTCCCCCCTCCCATCTTTTTCTTCCTCCTCCATTCTTTATATATTAGGCTTCATATTCTGTACTCTTTGTCTATCCCTTGACTGACTTTGGGGGTAGTTGATTTGATTTTGCATCTGCTTAGTAATTAATTGGTCTACTTTCTTTACTGTGGTTTTATTTCCTCTAGTGATAGCTATTTAGCCTTAGGAACACTTCCATCTATAGCAGTCCCTCCAAAATACACTGTAGAGATGGTTTGTGGGAGGTAAATTCTCTCAACTTTTGCTTATCTGGAAATTATTTAAACCCTCCTTCAAATTTAAATGATAATCTTGCTGGCTGAGAATTCTTGGTTCAAGGCCTTTTTGCTTCATTGCATTAAATATATCATGCCACTCCCTTCTGGCCTGTAAGGTTTCTGCTCAGAAGTCTGATGATAGCCTAATGGGTTTTCCTTAGTATGTAATCTTTTTTCTCTTTCTGGCTTCTTTTTATACTCTGCCTTTATCCTTGATCTTTGCCATTTTAATTATTATATGTCTTGGTGTTGTCTTCCTTGGGTCCCTTGTGTTGGGAGATCTGTGCATCTCCATGGCCTGTGAAACTATCTTCTTCCCCAGATTGTGGAAGATTTCAGCAATTACCTCCTCAAAAACACGTTGTATCCCTTTTTCTCTCTACTTCTTCATCTGGTAGCCTTATAATGTGAATATTGTTCCATTTGGATTGGTTACACAGTTCTCTCAATATTCTTTCATTCCTAGAGATCGTTTTTTCTCTCTGTGCCTCAGCTTCTTTGTATTCCTCCTCTCTAGTTTCTATTTCATTTACCATCTCCTCTGCTTCATCTAATCTGCTTTTAAATCCTCCCATTGTATGTTTCATTTCAGATACTGAATTCTTCAACATTTATATCTCATTCCTGAATTCCTCCCTAAGTTCTTGAATATTTTTCTGTAGTTTCTTGAGCATGTTTATGATTTTTATTTTGAAATCTCTTTTGGGAAGATTGATGAGTTCAGTTTCATTTAGCCCTCTTTCTGGTGTTTGTGGGATTTTGGGTGAACCAGGTTCCTTTGACATTTCATATTTGTAGGTGGTACTCTCTAGTGCCCAGAAGCTCTACTCTTTGGAACTTCTTAACCCCTGGGGTGATGACGAGGGTCAAGGTGAGTGGCACTGGTACCTGCCAGGGACAAAAGAGCTCTTTCCTGCTTCCCTGCTGTAGTGCCTGTCTCCACTGCCAGATCCAGTGGGCTGAGCTCGCAAGGAGAAGCCTCTATGCTTTGCACTTGTAGCTGCCATAGGTTGGACCACCCTCTGGCTGACTTGACGCTATGGTGGGGGAAGCTGGTTTGCGAGCCAGTGCCAGCTAGGCAGAAGGTGCAGCAGGCTGTGTATAGTGGTGGGGGCCTTGGAGCCATGTAGCCAGCCAGGGGGTAGAATGCCTGAAGCTCCTGAAAGTTCTCAACCTGCTGAGCAGAGTGCACCTGGACAATTTTGTCCACCTGTCCTTTTTCCTGAGCAGTAAGCTCTGTGAAGTCCTTACCCCTTTAGCAGCCTTCTCACTGTTAGGAAGTTTCTCAGACTCCCTGGCTTTCTTTTGTCCTGAAGTGGCTGGTTGTGGATATCTGTTCTCCACAAGTGGCTGGAATCTCAGTCTCTCCAAGTATTCCTCCTGTCTTAGCTTCCAACCCCACTAGTCTCCAGAGCAACATTTAATGTAGATTCATGCTCCCAGAGCAGATCTCCAGGGCTGGGTGTTCAGCGATCCTAGGCCTCCACCCCCTCCCTGCTCCATATCTCTTCCTCCTGCCAGTGAGCTGGGGTGGGGGAAGGGCTTGGGTCCCTCTGAATCACGGCTTTGGTATATTACCCTTTTCTCTGATGTCTGCTGATTTCCCCAGGTGTAGACAGTCTGCTGCAGCCTTCTTTCCTGTTGCTTTTTCAGGATTTGATGTATTTGCTGTATCTTCATATTATATGTGGTTTTGTGAGGAGGTTTCTGTCTCACCTCTCACACTGTCATCTTTAATCCTCTGTAGGGTATGTTTTGCTTTGTTTTTATATTCCACAAGTAAGTGAAATCATATGGTATTTGTCTTTCTCCACCCAGCTGAGCACTTACAGTTTTAAAACCATATATAATTGTTTCCATTTCTAGATATCATTTTATTTTTCTTCAAAACATGTCAGGCAAGTTGTAAGCCATTCCAGATAGATCCCATGCACATCTGAAAATATTCAACATTTCCAGTGTGGAGATTTGAGACCTCACCTTTGATGGTGTCTCCCCATGAGTTCAGTGGCAGTGGAAGCCTCATTCTAGGACTTCTCAATTTCAGCAGATTCCTGAGGCACAAGCCTGTGCCCTCCTGCTGTCATCTCCCCTCCTAGTTCCCCCATCCTGGGCCTGAGGTGAACTGGAAATTCAGGATTCATGGTTTGAAGTTGTGATTTTTTTTTGAACTGCTTATTAGAAGATCTTGTGGGCCTAGGTGTTTAGATGGAAAGTATTTGTTCCTTTGGCAAAATCCTTTTTGGCCTTTGCAAATCCTCAGTTTAATCAGCTACTCACTGACAGGGACACGCTGCTTCTGTAATGTATGCAACATGTAAGAATATTCATTGCACTCATTAACATGCTTGGTAGAAAGCACCCGGTGGCCAACTTCAAGTGCCAGTGCACCCTGATGAATAAGACCATGAGAATTAAACAAGCTTCTGGCCCTCACCCTGTTGAAGGAATGAGTATTGTTTTCATTTTGTAGTTTAGAAGTGTTGATTATAGACCCAGCTGAGCATGCTAATTTTCTCTCTTGTTACCTATGTAGACTTGGGAACAAAAATAGCTTCATCTGTATGAAGTAACAAGACAGTAGTTTAAATAACCCAATATGAGGCCTATTGTTAATTTTTGGATAAGAAACCCATTGGTGCTCTTGAACAAAAAACCAAATGTGCTCTATTCACCTACTTTGTTTTGTTATTTTATATTTTTCATGTCGTCTTACAGAAATTTTTTGATCTGGAAAGAGAGAACACTTGTGCTACAAAGGAACTAAAGGATCACACCTTTCCTAAATTAAATCGCAACAAGTACATGGTGACGGATGGCGCGGCTTACATTGGTAGGTGTGTGGGCGGGAAGGCTCCTTAGGGGACCGGGTGGCTTGGCGGTGGTCCACCTGCTCTTCTGTGCCCCATGGGGTGGGAGCAGAGTCCAAGGAGCCCCTGCCAGTGAGTGGGGGATCCTGGAGGGCAGGGAACAGGAGCGTGAAAGCAAAGAACTCAATAACCGAACATCTCCTCTGCAGCTTGGTTCTGATACTAAGTAGGAGACCATGTAGGATGTCTTTTCATAAATGTTTTGTGCAAATTCTCTGGTCCTTTGGCCTCATTTCATATGAGAGGAGGTAAAGGGCTCGTCAAGGTGAGGCCTGGCTCCTGAATGAGCACAGTGGTCATTTCCCACTCACAAAGACACAGCCAGTCTGTTGTGAGGAACAAGGACCATCTTAGTTCAGTGCCAAACTGAACCCTGCCTGGGCAGTAATCCCACCCCTGCCATTTTCTAAATGTCTAACTTTGGTCAATTTAGCTCACTAAACCTCATTTTTCTCATCTGTAAAATGCGGTCAGTAATGGTTTCTACTTCACTGTGTGAGGTTTAAGTGCGGTAATATATGCAAAGTACTTTGCATAATTAAGGCCCCTGGTGCACTGATAATGCCCAACTCGTGTTAGGCATTATTGTTTGGGGAACAACACTCCAGATGCAGAAATCCTACACACTGATGGGGTTATTCACTGATGTATCAAATCTATCCTACTTTCCCACAATGTGTATGCGTCCAGGATATCCCGGCAACTGGTACCATCACAGGCAGAGTGGATATAATCATCTATGAAACGACAGTGCATAAATCATGACACAGCAGCACAGTCCCCATTGTACAGATAAGTGGCTGTCTCAGAGAGGACAAATGTGTAGAATGAGGGATGTGAAATATGTTTTCCAAGTTCAGTGAGCGAGTAAGAACTTTGCCCTTCTAACCTCATAAAGCTCTTTACCTTATTTGATTCTCTTAGTAACTTTGCCAATGGGAAGGTGGCTTTTATCCCCTACAGTTCAGAAACGAGGCAACTTGGGCCATAAGACCTGAGATGGCTTAACCATGCAGATATAAGGGGAAAGGGCTAGATCTGGGATCCATGGCACCCAGCCCCTCACCCCAGCAGCCCTTCGGAAGCGCCCCGTTGACTTCGACTGCTGGAGAGTTACCTCCTGGCTCAGGGTGAAGCTGTTCTGTCTCACTCCATTTTGGAAAGTTATGTGTCACATTAGTAGAACAGAGTGTTGGAATTTTTTGAAATGTGTATCATTAGAGTTGTTTTAAAATGTAAGTATTATTTTATCTCCATGCTGTCCCTTTTAGTTACTCAAGATATTACTGTTTGGATATTCTCATGTTCAACTTATGAAAAATAGAATTAAATCAGCTTCTTTTTAAGCAAGTGACAAGGGCAAACTCAAAATCATTTAGTCAAAACGTGAACTTTGGACTCAGTAAGTGGGAAGTATGAAGGTGGTTCAGGGCTCAGGCACAGTTGGATTTAGAGACTCAAATCTGGATATTTTACCTGCACGGTTTACTTAAAGGAACATATTGCATGTACACTGGGCGGCAACTTGTGTTTATATCCAAATGTTCTTTTAATGAGTTACATACGTGTTTTGGAGAAAGACAAGCCTCTATTTGAATTTAAACACTCACACTTATGAGCTGGAAGATGGTGGAAAGTCTCTGTCTCTGAGCTGCTATTTCCTTGTCAGAAAAATGAGGATGATAGTAGCCACCCTTTGGTGGCAGCCTGAGGATTAAATGAGATAATATATCAAAGACTCCTGGTCTCTGTGTCTAGATCCTTAGTAAATATTGATGCCTGACTTCCTCCCTGCTTCTTTCCATATAATACATTTTGGAAATAGATCTTATTTCTCTAGAGCAGTTAAGGTCACAGCAAAATTGAGCAGAAGATACAGAGATTTCCCATATATCACCTGTCCCAGCAAATGCACGGCCTCCCCTACTATCAATATCCCCACCACAGTGGTACATATGTGACAATTGATGAGCCTACATTGACACTCATTATCTCCCAGAGCCCATAGTTTACATTAGGATTCACTCTTGGTTTTGCACATTTTCTGGGTTTGGACAGATGTATAATGACATGTATCCACCATTAAAGTGTCATAACAGAATATTTTACTGACCTAAAAATGCTCTGTGCTCTGCCCATTCATCCCTACCTACACCCTAACCCCTGTCAACTGCTGATTTTTTTTTTTTTACTGTCTCTGTAGTTTTGTCTCTTCCAAAATATCATATAGTTGGAATCATGCAGGATGTAGCCTTTTCAGATTGGCTTCTTTTACTTAGTAAAATGCTTCCTCCATGTCTTTTCATGGCTTGACAGCTTGTTTCTTTTTAGTGCTGATAAGATTCTGTTACCTAGATGTACCATGGTTTGTTTATCCATTCACCTACTGAAGGATATCTTGGTTGCTCCCAAGTTTTGGTAATTATGAATAAATGCTCATATGAACATACTCATGTAGATTTCTGTGTGGACATAAATTTTCAACTCCTTTGGGTAAATACCAAGGAGCATAATTGCTGGGTCACATGATAAGAGTATGTTTAGTTTTGTAAGAAACTACCAAACTGACTTCCAAAGTGACTGTACCACGTTGTATTCCCACCTGCTGTGAATGAGAGTCCTTGCTGCTCCCCATCTTCAGCAGTGTTTGATGTTTTCTGTGTTCTGGATTTTTTGCCATTCTAATAGGTGTGTAGTGGTATCTCATTGTTGTTTTGATTTATATTGCCCTGATGACATATGATGTGGAGCATCTTTTCATATTCTTTTTTGCAATCTGAATATCTTCTTTGGCAAGGTATCTGTTAATGTCTGTGGCACATTTTTCAATCAGATTGTTCCTTTTCTTACTCAGCTTTTAAGAGTTCTTGGTATATTTTGAATAACAGTGTTTTATCAGATGTGTCTTTGCAGATATTTTCTCCTAGCCTGGGGTTTATCTTTTCATTCTTTTGACAGTGTCCTTCACAGAGCAAACATTTTAAATTTTAATGAAGTCCAGCTTATTAATTAATGTTTTCATGAATTATGCCTTAATTATTTTCTCTAAAAAGAATGATACTCAAGGTCATCTAGATTTTGTCCACTATCTTCTAGGAGTTTTATACTTTGCATTTTACTATTAGGCCTATGATCCACTTTGAGTTAACATTTGTGACCAGTGTAAGGTCTATGTCTTAGATGCATTTTTTTACATGTTGTTCCAGAACCATTTGTTGAAAGTTAATTTGCTCCATTCCATTGCCATTGCTCCTTTGTCAAAGATCAGTTGACTGTATTTATGAGGTGTTATTACAGAGTTCTCTATTATAATGCATTTTTAAATGAGTGCATTTACACACAACATTTTAGTAAAACATTCATTCCATAGAGTGAAGCTTAGTTCTAGTGTAAAAATATTTAGAGCACCAAGAGAGAAATTTCATTGATCATTTAAATAATTATCACCATGTTCTGGAAATGTCTTAAGCCATCACTCAGATACCTGCTGAGAATACTAAATTAAGAAAAATCCACACTAGCCCTGGCATGGAATTCTAACTCCATTACACTTTCACAGGTCTTACAGAAGAACCCCCAAACCGTGTAATCTCTCTCATTTTGAATTCTCTGTAGTATGTTTGAGTCAAGCTTGGCAAAGTTCTCTGGAAGATGGTTTGAATTATTTGAAGGCCAACAAGGGGGGGCAGTAGGTTAAATGAAGCTCAGTTAATCAAAATCCCTTCAGAAGGCTCATTGAGACTGATGACCTTCCCAGTGAGAGAGAGCACTTGCACCTTGCCCGTGGTATTCCTGAGGACAGCACTACTGGGGCCTAAACATGCATTCTGGAAGCTGAGAGGCAGTTTCAGAAAGAACTGGGTGACACTGCATCCTCATTGAAAAAATACTGAAGCATATACGTGAGTTTGAGGGTTAACCAAACTGTCAGGTAGAAGAATATGATCACACCAGTATAGGAATGCCTCTGTAGGCCCGTGAAAGCTGTCCAGGGCTGTAATTCCTCAGAATAACCTAATTAAAGCTTTGAAAATCAATAAAGATGCAGAATCTTGGTTCCACCCATTGTATTGAAAGAAACAACTGAATTTCACAGAGTGGGGCTCCAAAATCTCATCCCTCTTCTCTCCAAAGTTTCCCCCTCCCAGTGCTGCCCCAAAGCACCTTTCTTTGTATGTTTCCTTCCTATGCATGAAGTCCACAGATGAATGGAGCAGAGGGTTTAGTATAGCCTGATGCTCCGCTCCTAGTAGCTTATGGTAAAGTCCAGGGTAAAATGTAAAATTTGCACAACACATGCCTTTAGGATGGGAGGTGACATGAAATAGAAGTTAAATGTGAGCTATGAAGTCAGACCTGGCTTTGAACCTCAGCTTTGATATTTTCTCAGTCTCACCCCAGAAAAATTATTTGACCTTTCTGTGTCTTAGTTTCCTCATCAGTACAATGGAGTTAGTATTATCACCTCATAGGACTGCAGTGAACATTGAATGAGATAATGTAATGTGATAACGAATTCATGGCCTTAAGTACCTGGCACTTAGCTGTCCATATGATATCTTAGTGTCTTATCGAAAAGTCCTTGAAAGGCATGCAAGAATACAGGGGGCTTTTGTTTCTGGGGTAAATGAAAGAGCCAACTGCCAGCAGACTCTAGAACAATTCTCAACCTGCCATAGCTACCACTCCCCAGTTTAGAGGTCCCAGCCTGTATTCAGCTGGCACTGAGCATTTGTGCAAAGCCACAGCCTCTGAGCATGGCCATGTGTCTGAGAGCACACAGCCAGGAGCATAGCACTAGCAAGGAGACCCCAACACAATATTAGGAACCACCAGGCAGACAGTTCACTAGTGTATGGCAGTAAAATTCATCCAAAGTTATGCCTATCAGGAAGCCATTGACAGTAGTGCTGTGGTGCTTGTCTGATGGAGTGTGAGATGGAGGAGAGAGAGAGAGAATTCCTGCTCTGTGCTGACAGTATGGATGTAGGGACCTGGAATCACGCCCTGAAAAGAAACTTAGGAAGTAAAAGGAGAGCCAAGAGAACGACCTTCCAATATCCCAGGGTCTGCCACATGGAGGAGGTAGTTGTGTGTGGGAGCTCCAAGGGCCAAGGGAGGAGAGCTGTAACAGAGCAGACACAGCTCTCCGCAGAGGTTCCTCCTCCCAGCGGCTCCTCCCATGGAGGCTGCATGACCCGGGGACAAGGAAGCCCAGGGACCATGAGTGTAGTGTCCTCCTCAGCGGGTGCTCCTGCAGCGATGCTGACAGGCCCCTGGGGAATGGGATGTCAGGCTCAACACTGAAGAGAAACCTCTCTTCTGTTAGAACCCTCTCCCTGCTGGACGCCAAGGACAAGAGATTTGGGTGGGATTTGGGGTAATATAGCTCTTTTATCTACTCCCACCTTGAAGATGAGCTACACATGAGTGACACAGACATGGTCAGCCCCTCCAGGGACAGATTCCAGTCTTACTAACTGTTATGGGCTAAATTGTGTCCCCTCAAAATGCGTATGTTGGAGTCCTAACACCCAGTTCCTCAGAATATGACCCGTATGTGGAGAGAGGATTATTTCAGAGGCCATCAGGTTAAAATGAGATCATCAGTGTGGCCCCTAGTCCAATGTAACTGGTGTCCTTATAAAAAGGGGTATTTGGCTAATGCCTGAATTCAGCAAAGTTGCAGGATACAAAATTAATACACAGAAATCTGTGGCATTCCTATACACTAACAATGAACTAGCAGAGAGAGAAATCAGGAAAACAATTCCATTCACAATTGCATCAAAAAGAATAAAATACCTAGGAATAAAACTAACCAAGGAAGTGAATGACCTATACTCTGAAAACAACAAGACATTCATGAGAGAAATTAAAGAAGATACCAATAAATGGAAACACATCCTGTGCTCATGGATAGGAAGAATTAATATTGTCAAAATGGCCATCCTGCCTAAAGCAATCTACAGATTCAATGCAATTCCTATCAAAATACCAACAGCATTCTTCAACAAAATAGAGAAAATCATCCTAAAATTCATATGGAACCACAAAAGACCCCGAATATCCAAAGCAATCCTGAGAAGGAAGAATAAAGCAGGGAGAATATAAACCTGATATAAACACAACCATATATGGTCAATTAATATATGATAAAGGAGCCATGGACATATAATGGGGAAATGACAGCCTCTTCAACAGCTGGTGTTGGCAAAACTGGACAGCTACATGAAAGAGAATGAAACTGGATTCAAGTCTTTAATCCTTGAATGTAAGTCATGAAACTATAAAACTCTTGGAAGACGACATAGGCAAACATTTCCTGAATATAAGCATGGGCAACTTCTTCTTGAACCCATCTTCTAAAGAAAGGGAAACAAAAGCAAAAATGAACTCAGGGGACTACACCAAACTAAAAAATTTTTGAACGGCAAAGGACATCATCAACAAAACAAAAAGGCATCCTACAGTATGGGAGAATATACTTGTAAATGACATATCTGACAAGGGGTTAACATCCAAAATATAGAAAGAACTTACGTGCCTCAACACCCAAAGAGCAAATAACCCGATTAACAAATGGGCAGAGGATATGAAGAGACAGTTCTCCAAAGAAGAAATTCAGATGGCCAACAGACACATGAAAAGATGCTCCACATCACTAATCATCAGGGAAATGCAAATTAAAACCACAATGAGATATCACCTCACACCAGTAAGGATGGCCAGCATCGAAAGACTAAGAACAACAAATGTTGGTGAGGATGTGGAGAAAGGGAAACCCTCCTACACTGCTGCTGGGAATGTAAGCTAGTTCAACTATTGTGGAAAACAATATGGAGGTCCCTCAAAAAACTAAAAATAGAAATACCATTTGACCCTGGAATCCCACTCCTTGGAATTCACCCAAAGAATACACCTTCTCACATTCGAAAAGACATATGCACCCCTATGTTTATCATAACACTTTTTACAATAGCCAAGAGATGGAAGCAACCTAAGTGTCCATCAGTAGATGAATGGATAAAGAAGAGGTGGTACATATACACAATGGAAAACTATTCAGCCATAAGAAAGAAACAAATCCTACCATTTGCAACAACATGGATGGAGCTGGAGGACATTATGCTCAGTGAAATAAGCCAGGCGGAGAAAGACAAATGCCAAATGATTTCCCTCATTTGTGGAGTATAACAATGAAGCAAAACTGAAGGAACAAAATGGCAGCAGACTCAGAGACTCCAAGAATGAACTAGTGGTTACCAAAGGGGAGGGGTGTGGGAGGGCACGTGGGGAGGGAGGGAGAAGGGGATTGAGTGGTATTATGTTTAGTACACATGGGGTGGGGGATCACGGGGAGAACAGGGTAGCACAGAGAAGGCACATAGTGAATCTGTGGCATCTTGCTGCACTGATGGACAGTGACTGCATTGGGGTATGGGTGGGGACTTGATAATATGGGTAAATGTAGTAACCACATTGTTTTTTCATGTGAAACCTTCATAAGAGTGTATATCAATCATACCTTAATAAAAAATTAAGAAAAGAATTTATTTAGATCAATGTTAAAAAAAAGGGGGGTATTTAGACACACAGACATGCGCAGGAGGAAGACAACACAAAACGACAGGGAGAAGATGGCATCTACAAGCCCAGGAGAGAGGCCTGAGACAGACTCCTCCCTCCCAGCCCTCAGGAGGAGCCAACCAGCCAACACCTTGATTTTGGACTTCTACCCCCAGAACTATGAGACAACATATTTTTATTTGTACAGCCCAGCCTGTGTACTTTGTTACAGCAGCCCCAGTAAACAAATATGCTACCTAATACCAGGTGGGCATACTGCGGAGCCGGAGGTCATAGCACCTGCATCAATTCCAAGGCCGGAGAGCCTGATCCTAAAACCGGGAAATGATTTCCACCCCTAGAAAGGATGGTTTTGTGTATTCTGACAGGAACTGGTTCTCTTTCTCTAGCTCAGCTTCTGCTTTGATGTAAATATTTCTGAGTACTGTGGTTAGAATCCCTCATTTGTACATATGGATGAGTGTTGTCTCTTTGAGAAGGTAGTAGTTGTTCACAGGATGTTTAAGTGTATTCCTATATATTTTAAATGTTGCTGTATTTAGTGTGTCTTGTGAATGTCAATAAAAAATAACATTTACAAAAAAGAGCAGCAGATTCCTTGTTTTGAGTTTCAAGCTGAGCAAAGCTGAAGAAAATGCCAAAATAATATGCATATATTAATGTGCCATATGTAAAGCTTCTTGAATCTTTTTTTTTTCCTGAGCTGTCAACACAATTCAATCTCCCTGTCATTATTCCTGGGTATTTTGTGTTTTTTTTTAATAGAATCTGCTCTATATTTCATTAACTAATATTCTACATTAAATAGGGAATTCTCCCCAGTGGAGCTTAACTGTTCACCATTATTTCCTTTGTTTGCAGGAAATTTTGACTGGGTAGGGAATGATTTTACCCAGAACGCTGGCACAGGCCTTGTTATCAACCAAGCAGATGTAAGAAACAACACAAGTATCATTAAGCAACTTAAAGATGTGTTCGAGAGGGACTGGTACTCGCCCTATGCCAGGACCTTACAGCCGACCAGACAGCCGAACTGCTCGAGTCTGTTCACACTCAAACCCCCCTTCCACAAAGCTGCCACATACAACTCAAGTGGGAAGGACCCCGTGAGTGTATAATGCGGATGGACAAACTGACAGGACAGCTTGTATTTACTATTTATATATAAAGGTCTTGAGGAGAGAAACACATTTAATATGTTTTTTTTAGGGAAAAAGCACACTTATAAAAAATATTCTCTGAACACTCTGTAATATCTTAATCTAACAATATTTTAGCAGCATATACACTCAGTGTAAGACTTTTGTATTTGTTACTTCTGACAGGGAATGTCATTTCTGCTGGGAAGCTAGTTTTTATGCTGGCATACAACTTTTAAGACTTGGACGCCTCTCCCTTCCTACCTTTAGAACTCTTTCTGCCAACCCACCTGCTCAGTTCTTAGGAAGCTTAGCATGAGGTAAACTCATTACCACCCTTTCGAGAACTGCTGAATTCTAGAGGAGAGGGAGGATTCACCTTTCAGGAGACCCTGATGGAACCAAGTAGTTATCCTTGTACACCGTCCCCACGACCAGCCACCATCTGAGCCCGACCAGATCCATCTCATGTCAGCCTTCAGCGCTTGAAAAATGCCTTTTTTGCCTCCTTGTTTATATTCTTCTAATACCATAGCTTTTCTTTTGTATCATTTTCTTTTCCAACAAAATGTTTTCATAATATAGTGTCCCTGTATACACCTCACCATTAAGGTCCAAGTGCCATCATATCTTCTGAAAATGTATGAAGTCCTCAGAATGGATACAAAGTGGAAATAGCCGCCTTTAATTTTCACCTATCAGCTGCATTGTTCCCCTACCAAACTGATTTTAAAACCACAGCCAGCAATATGTATCCTTTCTCTCAAGCTCAGAAAAATTATGTAGCCATCTGCTAATATCCAGCAAGCTATTAAGTCTGCATTAGGAGAATAAAGTAGTCCTTCACTTTTTTTGTTTAGTTTATGGTATTATAAAGGAAAGATCTCTGTGCGTCCATGCATTTTAATTTCTTTATAGTCATTATACTGTTAAGAGTATGCCAGCAAGCATCTGTAGAGCTATTTAATACACCTTCTGCTGTTTAATATACCAAATGCTTTTCAGAGAAATGCAATTTAAATACTGTGCTTAACATATTTTACTAAAAAACAGAAATATGGACTCTTGTTCTATAATGTCATTGTGCAATGGTGTTTTATATCTATACAATATATAACCCTATATTAATGGAGACTGTCGCACACTGGAGAGAGGCAGGGTCTCTTCAGAGCCCAGAGCAGGTAGCAATCAAGATGCCCGGTGTGAAAGTTGCTCCTGACTCTCTGTGGCCTGGAATAGAGTCCTGAGCTCCTTGGCCTTGGGTTTCTGTTGGTAATGTAGGGACAGTAATGCCTACCTCACCAAGATGTTGTCATGGTAGGAAATATTTATAACTTGTTTTGAAATCAAAAGAACCTATATAAATGCTAAGCATTATGATGTATAATCTCTTTCTTGAAGTAATCTTTGTGGTATTCTGATGTAACCAATACCAGGTTCTCCCAGGGAACCTGCAAGGGGAAACAGATCCACAGCTTCCAGCTGCAAATGTGGATGAACACAGCATGTCAAACCCTGCTGGGAGAGTGGATTGTTATCATTTCGATGGAACATTTTGTCATGTCACTTTGACATAAATAACATCAACACGAAAGTAGACACTGTGCTAGGGACTCTTCTTTGGGATGGGCTTATACATGTGTTTTCAGAGCATGGAAAAGCAATCTCAATGATTTCTTTTACTTTTAGAGACTTGACCTTTACTATGCCACAAAGAGCAACAGAGGAGCCCATGGGTCTTACCCAGTGTGTTCACATGGTGTGGAGTGGCTCTGGCTGCACATCTGGCAATCACATAACTTCCTTTCTTTTTGTTTCCGAGTATTGCTTTACTGGATATTTAACTGGTCAGTGAAGAGAGCTGGAAGAGGGCTCTATTTTTCAGAGAAGCAACTTTTTATGAATGACTGGAGGATTCTTAATGGAATTCTTCATTAATAATGACTAGCCCATAAGACTAAATATTTACCATATGCCCAGTCCTCGTGTGAGTAGGGAGTCTACCCTGCCCGTTATCTCAGTAAAGATGGTTTGGTGATGTTTTAAAAAGGAAAGAAAACAAAAGAAGGCAAGTGAAGAGTAGGTGTGGAGACAAACAAACATCCCAAGCTCAATCATGGGCAAAGAAAAGCACCCTGGGCTGGGTTTGAGAAGGATGTCTAAAGAGGAGAGATGGTAGCCTCCCGGAGGACTTGTCAGACCCATGCGACAAGCACAAGCTTGGTAACGCTCCCTTCACTGTCACTATCTTATATGTGATAGAAGATCATTTTGTCCTCTATGAAATGGCCATCATTGCCATTTCCCTCTGCACCCATCAAAAAGGTAGCACCAGGTGCTATGTCAGGGATTCTCTGCCATGCACCCACAGCTGCAGATCCCCGCCCGGCCCAGCAGCTCCTCCTCAGGGCCCAGGCAGAGCCTGGTCACTGACTCCAGGAGGCACTGCTGGCTTTCTGTGGCAGCCAGGAAACCAGCCCCGTACAGAGTGTCACCAGTGGGTCCATACAAGAACATTTATTCCTGCAGAACTTTCTTTTACATTTGGATGTTTTGTCCACCACTCTAAATGTGGGCTCCCTGTCTTTTAGACTTTGTGCCTATGCTAAAATATACTACCAGCTTCCATTCTTACCCCACAGACAAACATGCCAGGAATTATTTCCCAGGAGGAAAAGAAGACAAAAAAAAAAACACTTCAATTTGAGACTATGGTATGGGCATCTGTGCCAGAAATTTGGAGAGGAAGGTGATTACTTACCTCCATTTTTCCCCAAAAGAACATTCCAGGCGTTATTTCCTAAGGGGAAAGTAAAAAGGAAAGCAAACACGATTTCAGACTCTATTTTAGATTTCTGTGCTACTGACATTATTAACCTAGTACCTTATTTATTCTCAAGGATTGCTTTTAAACAGTGATTCACTATCTGAGCATACTTCTGCCCACTGTGGAGTACAGTAGAACCTTCTGATGGGCCTTCCAGTTGGAAACTTGCAATGAGTGTCAATGCTTTGCATAGAGCCTTCCCTTCTCCCAAGCCACACAACTTTGATCCCCACCCCCCACAAATCAAGTAATTGACACACACTGTTAAAAATCAATTCTGTTGGCTTCCACTGCCCTGCCACTGGACATTGGCCACTGGTATATTGAATAATTGATCACAGCTTGCCAAACCACTTCAAGAAAGTGGAACATTCTAGATAATATCCATGCTCTGTAAATGCCATGCTTTGGGTACTGAAAACAATGGAAGTGAGGCACACTGACAATGTCCCCAGTATCTTTAAGGACCTTGTAAAGAGGTGCTTTGTGGACTTCCAGAGTCTCAGAGAATGTAGAAGGAAAACTAGCACCTTAACAAAGTCAAAGCACACCCAGAAAAAGAAACAAAAGAGCTGTGAGGAGACTTTATGTCTGTGTAGCTCTGAGCACCTTTTTTCTGTTCCAGCTGTGTCTGTGCTGTCATCTCATTTCTGAACTGTTTTCTGGTGAGGGGGGTCTGATCACATTTCTGGTTGGCCTTACCCTTTGACAATGTGTTCCATCACTGTGGTTGCCGGTTTGTGAAAAGTGCCTCGCTGAACCCGGGGCGGAGAGAAGCTCATTTCCCACCAGCCTGTGGCTATTCTCAAGTGACTGATTCATTCTGAGTCTTCTGTTTGTTTTTAGAAACTTTTGTGGAACTAAATTCAGGGGGGAAATAAATAAAAGGACTGTAAGAATGTCTTGATACGATCAGACCCAGGGTCTGTCTTTCTCAGGAATTCTATCCACCTTCTTGTCATGTATGACCACTCGTGTGACTTTCTCTCTCCAGAATTCATTCCATTAGTTCTAACGTTGAAGGAATGTAAAAAGCCTTCACTCACGATGGAAGAATTATCTTTTCTAATGAAAGATGCCTCACTATTGGCTATTCTAAACTCAGTCCCTTATAAGCAGCCCTGGGTAGTGTGGATGAATGTTGGAATCTTTGGTTTTCTGCACTTATTCTCAATGTCCTGGTGCACTTTGCCATAAATCTTCTGAAGGAGAAATAATTGTGATAATGTCATTTGGTCTAAGGTAGATTGGATAATTTCATCCATACTCAGCATTTGTCCATTGACTATGAGGTAGCTTCTTTGCTTTTCCTTTTATATGTTGGGAAACGAATAGCTGTTTATCATTTTTACCTTATTGATTTAAATTGCTTTTTAATAGCCATGAATTAACCCCAGTTCATAGTCTACCCTCCCCATTTGAGAGAATTCCCATCTTTGGGCTGAATTATGAAGATAATTGCTTTTTATGGTGACTACGTATGCCTCAGAAGTTTCTTAAAATAGTAAAAAGTGAATTTAGTTTTTGACCCATCAGTCATCTTGTACTTACAGAGTTCTAAAAAGGTCACTGACCCCTTCTGCTTCTTTGGGCAATTGGCTGAAAAGAAATGAGATTTTATAGGCTTTTATGCATTTTCTTTTATGTTCAACTACCAAACTTCTAATTGTGTTGCAAAGGATATCTTGAATTTAATGTTCCTTAATGTAATTAGGGTAAAGTTGTACCTGGACATATCTATATTATTGACCTTAAGATCCCTAAATACATTGTTGTGATAAAGGGCTGAATCTAAGGGCATCATTAAAATTCTCAAACCTCTCTTATAACCAAATGCTCAATTCTTTAATAAGTAAATTTTATATGGCTTTTTCATTCTGTGAGATGAGGCATTTATTTTTCTCCTCAGCTTGATCTCAGAAACAAGCCAGTCTCCCATCAGTATCCAAGCTGCACTCTAAAGGATGGATAAGGTAAATGCAGCTAGCCCCATGGCCTGTGGTCCCAACATTTTGTATATTTGCCCAAGAGGCATCTCTGTAACCTATTCTTGTCTCTCTAAAAAAAAAAGTTTGTTTTGATTATTTATTGGTTTTATAAATGACCATTTTTTAGTGAAGACCACCACAGTATTCAGGTTGTACTCTCTGACCCAGGGACCGACAAACATTTGTGCACATGAACTCCCCTACCTCCTGTACTTACCCACCATACTCTAATCTTTCTAGGCTGCCCATAGTTGAACACACCTGGTGTCTGCTCAATAAATCCATCCTGAGTCTCAGGTTGAGAAGATGCCTTGAAAGCCATCCAAGTCAACTCCTCCAAATGCACGAATTGCCCTCCTCCTGGACCACTCAGAAGTTGGGGACCTGCTCAAGCCAAATGTATTTAGAGTGCTTAGTACAATATCTTTCACAAGACCCACAGAGAATACAAATTTATTGATTTTCTAAAGTAATTTGGATTTGAGACAGTCTTATCTCTCAAAGAATGAACATGGTGTAAGTATAAAATAGGTACCCTTTGTATACAGTGACAAAATCTGAAGATGCAGACTTTTTTTAAATTGATGTTCATACAATAAAATGCACAAATCCTAGAGTACACCTCGATACATTTTTGACAGGTGGACCATACTTTTTTTTAAAGCTGCCATTTGAGAATTTAGCAAAGGTTGGTAAATGAAGCCAACTTACTGAATTTGCAATAGTCAACAATAATTTGATTTTTATCAGCAGTTTCTGAATCCTGTAATTTCATTTTTTTTAATTGGCCTGACCATCTGAGAGATAATCATGTGCAGAGTCCAGTTAAATCATAGAGTGAAGATCATTTATGATTTATTTTTATTTCATATGAGACAAATTAGTAAAGAAAAAGTTCTCCTTTTTTTAAAATGGACATCTGACTCTCAAACCCATTCTTTTTGGCCTCAGACGTGTTGAAAGTTCTTAATTCCCTTATGAACTCTACCACCTCCCATGGGTGAAGAATTCTGAGGAATGGCTGAAAAATTCTGAGCTCTTTGTAAGGCATGATCATGGATAAACCTGGTCTCCAATTTAGTGTCCCCACATGGGTATACAACACTTCATAGGGGCATGACCTCAATTTCCAGAATTAAAAATATTGAAATTATATTGAAAAGACCATTCAGAAAATATGATCCAAAACCATTCATGTGATTTAGAGCTTAATTTACAATTCCATTTACTTTTACTGAAAAGTGGAGACCATCTGATTTTCAGAAAGCACATGTTATTAAAGGCAAAATCCCCCCCCAAAAAAGTGTAAGTAAAAGAAAGGCAGCACCATAGTCCCAGGGAAGTTATGGTATTGATGGAATACTCTGATAATCCTCCATGAGAAAGTGTCATTGAGAAACAAAAGCTATATGTCCCCAGCAGTAAAGCTGTATATCATTATCCATATTTCCTGGGTGGATTTATGGTTTTCCTGAAGTCCTGGAAAGACCACACCCATAGCTGCTGCATGAACAGAACCATGTTTCTGTCCCGTGAATTCTCCACGCTGGCCACAGCTAAGTGAACTAAGCTTATAACTTGGTTATAAGAGGGTGGTGGCCTAGGAAAGAACTTGACCTGACAGTCTTGCCTGACACCTGGCCCCACCATAGCAGAGCTCCCCTCCAGGGAGTGATAGGAAGTAAATAAGGAGCAGTAAGCACCCGAAATAGACCGAGAGAGGACTAAGGCATGCTCCTGTGCCACCTTAGAGCAGTTGAAACAATTAGAGTTCTCACTGACTCACCATGTCTGCTCTAAGGTTACTGGAGTAATAATGGTTGATTCCTGAACATCAGGGCTGTTTTTTGTAGTTACTACTCTACTTTCTTCTCTCTCCTTTTTTGTGTATTGACATAAATAAACTCACCTTAATTGATATAATCTGCCTGCCTGTCTATTCTTTGCGGTCCAGAGGGGCCTAATGTACTAAGGTTAAAGCTCTCCTCATTTCCAAGTAGCTGGAAGGGAGCGAGGAAATAGAAGAGGCACCGCAGCACACCATGTTTTGATTAGACGTGGGTTCACAGTGGATATCTTCCTGGAAAATCACCTGGGTCCGCTCCATACATGTCAACTGTCAAATCAATGGTAACTATATCTCCTAGACTCCTGCAGATGAATTCAAAGCACTGAGAATGCAAATGAAAAATCCACTTAGGAGGTGACTTCATGATAGGCACAGAGATGTTTAGAACTGAAAGAAAAATTAGAATTCTTAAAGCCCAAACCTACCCTTTTGTGTGTGTGTGTGTGTGTGTGTGTGTGTGGTATAACTGTTATGTCACATATAAGTTTTAATATTATAATGGAATCTGGCTGGTGATTAGTTTGTGACTTTGGTCATAATAATGTGCTGTGTTTGTTCAGTATTTTTGCTCAGAATCTCCAAGTGCTTTGCAGAAAAGATTTTACTCATCTTTATAATACCACTTTCATAAAAGGATATCTGAATGGAGATACAAGTGAGAGAAGATATGAGGTAAGAATGCAAAAACCTTCCCTTTTTTTATACGAGGAAAATGAGTCATAGAATACACATTGAGTTAAGTAGAGGCATATGTGTTTAAATTTAGAAATTGTTTTTAAATATATATTCTAATGATTGGCTTAAGAAATGCAAAAGTTGCTAGTAATATGCTGAATATTTGGGGCAAGTGCAATTTACAAGGGCAAATTACAGGTGTTTGTAGAAGACAGAAGTGAAATGACTCCTAAAAAGTCTGACAAAGGAAGACAGGTCTCTAAGATGCCACAGGAAATGTTGGAGGAGGTGGGGGTTTGGGGGTGGTGATCAAGGCAGGTGAGCCTGGCATCTCTCCCTACTAAATTTGGGTAGGGATTAATAATATCAGGAGAAAGTCTGTGATTGTGTATTCTGTTTGACATGTGAACTTCTTGTGAGCATTCATTCAAAAAGGAAAAGAATGCTATAAAAACTATTTAATCTATGGTTTGAAAACAAAATTCTTGTTTGAACTTTGTCACTCAGCCATTTAGTTTGTGGGATATATAAAAAGAATGTGGGAGATAGATTCAGGTCTAAGGTCTGCTGACAGTCAATTATCGCTAAATTGAAGATAGTCTATGTCATGCCACAGTGGGATGGTCCAATGTGTGTGTCACTATGACTAGGTGATGGACCCTAGTTATTCAATGAAGCATTAATGTGGGAGTTGTTAGGTACCATATGGATGTGATTCTAATTTATAATCAGTTTTCTTCAAGAAAAGAAAATTATTCTAGATAATCTGGATGGGTCTGGTTCAATCAGTTGGCCTCACAAGCATAATCGAAGCTTTCCTGAAAGGGAAGATATTCCACCTATGGAAGAAATTCCACCTACAGACTGCCACATCAACTCCTGCCCACAGTCCAGGTTGCCCTTCCTGACAGCCTGCCCTTGGATTTTAGACTTGCCTACCCAGTGTCAGTCCTTTGCGGTGAATCTATGTGTGTCCGTCTGTCTGTCTTGTTCTAGTTCAATGTTAGAACTCTGACTGATAAACACAGCAATCAACAATCCCAAAATCTTAGTGACTTAAAACCACAAGGTTTACTTTTTGCTCACAATACATCTACATCATGTGTCAGCAAGAGTACTCTGCTCACCGTGGCCACTCAGGGACCTAAGTTGCCAGAGCAAATATTGATGGTCACTATGTGAGAGGCAAAGCAGATTGCTGGGGGGCGGGGGGTCTTACATCAGCAAGCAACTCAACCATCTGGCCAGAAAGATGCTCATGCCAGCATTTCTGGAAAGGTGGAAAATCAAAAATATTTAATGAAGAATATTAATGACTAATATAGTTAATTAGGAAAATACAAACTTATCAATGAGCTTCTTATTTTGGATGAGGACAAATTCATGAAGCTACAAAGTAAGAATGTTCAAGAAGGATAAAGAATGCAAGGATTCTAGGATCAGAATGACTGAGAAAGGAGGAAGGGAACTAAAGCAGGACACCCTAAGCTCTGGTGTCGGTAACCAGAGAAAAGGCTAAGCTCTTAAAATGTACTCAGAGATGTCGAACCAGCTGACCTAATGCTTAGGTTAGGCAAGGGCAAAATAATTAGGGATGTAAGCAGTCCAAATGGCTTTATTTGATGTGGTCCTGGGATCTAGGTATCTATCTAGGTGAATGTCATTGCCTGTCATCATCCAAACTAAGAGAGCATAACTAAGAGAAGAATGTTCTCGGATGAGCTCTGTGAGTGTATTGACAGTTTTCCAACACAAGGAGCCTGTTTGAGAACTTCACCAACTCATCTCTTGACCTGTGGGGGTGTTTCTCTTCATTGTGGTGGTTTATTGTTCACTATCTTTCTCTCATTTTCTTCATGAAATAAAACCATCTGTTTTTTTTTACATATGTGTTTCCTTCCTCTTTTACACAAATAATGTATTCCTAACTCATATATTACCAATGTCTTTTAAAATTACATCCCAGGAAGCAAAGGTCCTTTTAACAGGATGTCATATATTCCCTAAAACACTTCTATTTTACTCCCTTCACCTTGGTTTTAAGAAATAAAAATACAACTAATGAATTGTATTTTATATGTGAAATAACACATGGGGGAGAACCAGTCAAGGCATCTAATGTGCTGAGCACCAATTCTCTGCAATACTGGAGCCAGTGCTGTGGGACAGACAGTAATTAATATTCCTGCCTGAGGGAATTCTATAATCTTGTATAGAAAGGAAATCCAAAGATGGGGTCCATCCATTTTGAGCAAATAACCTTTAGACATCTGCCTGTCACAATGACCCCACCAATCTCCTCAGCAGAAGTGTAATTAAAAACATGTCAATCCACAAGTAGTGATTTTACAGCATCTTACTACACTGATGAACAGTGACTGTGAAAGGGTATGTGGGGGGGACTTGGTGAAGGGGGCAGCCTAGTCAACATAATGTTCTTCATGTAATTGTAGATTAATGATACCAAAAAAAAACCCATGTCAATCCAGGTATGTTTCCCCAGAGACCCACTGTGAGGTGGAGCAGCCATGGGAAAGGAAGAGCATCAAGCCTCCCCACACACCCAAAAGCCCAGCTGGACTGTCCCCCACAACCATCTCACTTGTCCTCCCATCATGAGCAGCGGCACACTGAGTCCACCCTAGACCACAGGCAAGAGGGCCATCTCTTATACTGAAATTTTAACACAATACAATAACCCACTAAAATCATCTGCTTTTTGCTCTCACTATGCAACAGCAATTCTAAACAATGTCACTGACAACATACTCCTCCTGGAGGAAAACATTTTATTGGTCTAAGTTCTAACCACCTAGGGCAGATGGCGTCCACTGCCCGGCCCTTGGTTTACTACTGCTAATGAGTGACACTCTCTTTAATTTCTGGTAAAGAGTAGAAAAAAAGTAATTTTAATTGCCACTAATTCCAAGCAGAAACTGCATTTATTCATGTAGTCAAAAAACACTTAATAATCCTGTAACATAATCCAAGTTCTATGCTGAGCACAGGGCATACCACAATGAATAAGAGTTTCTCTTCTCACAAGAGAGCAGATTCTTCCCCAGTCTAGCCTGGGAGAGCCTCAGGTCCAATCCTAGGTGGCAGCCTCCTGAGACACCTGGGGCTGTTTGTTACACAGCAAGAGATGAGCTATATGATACACAAATGAAACATAAAAAATCTCCACCCTCTGTGTCCACCCCAGGCCACCCCAATCTTCTCTCAATTTGAATCATATTTTCAAAGTTAAAGGCCCAGTGAATTTTGAACTATTTGTCCTTTTGCCTCATGGAGGTCCACCACACCCAGGCTAGCACATGGAGAACCTTGAAACTTAAGAGCATCAGAACTTCTGCATTTATTTGATGACTATTCACTATTGTGCTACTATCATTTACTGCTATTATAACTTAGAGCTGAAGCATCTTTTCCTCTGCTTTCATGAGTGTCTGAAAGTTATGTGCTGAATATTTACTGATTCCATTGGGATCTTGGAGAACAGTGAATCATAGTCTTATCTATAAACACTAAGGTGAGGACTTTGGCCTGGAAAAAATTTTAAGACCTCAACATTGCAAAAAGTGCAGTGACTAAGATGTGAGAAATTAACTATGAGCATTTTGAAAAGAAAATTGGTAAGGATCCTCCAAGGTGCAGAAGAGGGTGTGAAGCAAATTGATGCAGGGAAGCCTGAGCCAGATCCCAGCTCACATTTTCTTCCTCTAGTTAGAAGCTAACTCTCACCCCAATTTTGCCTGTGTTTAAGTAGAAATATATGTTGTCTGGACCTCTCTTTTTATTATTTTATAATATTCAATGGAGATTCCTAAATTTAAAAAATTAGCTTGTGAACTAGATTTGGAATTGGATTTTTGCCTAGTATTTATTCCCCCTCCTGCCTGATGCTGATAAGTAGCTAGCTGAGTAGTTACCCAGTGGCACTTACATAGTTGGGACTGCATTTAACATAAACTATACATCATATTCAAAAATGAAGATGCAAATTGCTGTGAAAGGTCCTGTGATTCCAGCAGGTAAATCTCAAGTATCTGTGTCTGTTTTCTCTAAAGGAAAATTTAAGGAAAATAGTTTTCTGGATAAACTACAGATCCAGGCTAAGAGTCTTCAGAGGAAGCAGCAACTAAGTCACAACACCAGTTCCTTCCCTTCCCTTCCATCTTGGGTAGAGGGTAGAAGGAGCGGTCTTCTCTGAACAGCATGCCCCAGAGAACCGTGATCCCACTCTTAGTGAGGATGGTGTGCCCAGGTACCTCAGAGACAATGTCAGTCTTGCAGATCATCATGTCCACAGCACTCAGCACACAGGTGGCTCATAGTTGGCATGTAATAAGCTGTTGTTGAATGAACCAGTGAACTGATGA